TACGCGTTTATTTCGCTACGCGTTGAATTTGCTATGCGTTGAGTTCTCTACGCGTTGAGTTCTCTACGCGTTGAGTTCCATACGCGTTGAGTTCCATACGCGTTGAGTTCCATACGCGTTGAGTTCCATACGCGTTGAGTTCCATACGCGTTGAGTTCCATACGCGTTGAGTTCCATACGCGTTGAGTTCCATACGCGTTGAGTTCCATACGCGTTGAGTTCCATACGCGTTGAGTTCCATACGCGTTGAGTTCCATACGCGTTGAGTTCCATACGCGTTGAGTTCCATACGCGTTGAGTTCCATACGCGTTGAGTTCCATACGCGTTGAGTTCCATACGCGTTGAGTTCCATACGCGTTGAGTTCCATACGCGTTGAGTTCCATACGCGTTGAGTTCCATACGCGTTGAGTTCCATACGCGTTGAGTTCCATACGCGTTGAGTTCCATACGCGTTGAGTTCCATACGCGTTGAGTTCCATACGCGTTGAGTTCCATACGCGTTGAGTTCCATACGCGTTGAGTTATCTACGCGTTGAGTTATCTACGCGCTGAGTTATCTACGCGTTGAGTTATCTACGCGCTGAGTTATCTACGCGTTGAGTTATCTACGCGCTGAGTTATCTACGCGTTGAGTTATCTACGCGTTGAGTTCCATACGCGTTGAGTTATCTACGCGTTGAGTTATCTACGCGCTGAGTTATCTACGCGTTGAGTTAGCTACTTGAGTTATCTACGCGCTGAGTTATCTACGCGTTGAGTTATCTACGCGCTGAGTTATCTACGCGTTGAGTTATCTACGCGCTGAGTTATCTACGCGTTGAGTTATCTACGCGCTGAGTTATCTACGCGTTGAGTTATCTACGCGCTGAGTTATCTACGCGTTGAGTTATCTACGCGCTGAGTTATCTACGCGTTGAGTTATCTACGCGCTGAGTTATCTACGCGTTGAGTTATCTACGCGTTGAGTTAGCTATGCATTGAGTTCGCTACGCGTTGAATTTGCTACGCGTTGAATTCGCTACGCGTTGAGTTCGCTACGCGTTGAGTTCGCTGCGCATTAAATTTGTTATGCGTTGAATTACCTACGCGTTGAATTTGCTGCGTGTTGAATTTGCTAGGCGTTGAATGTGCTACGCGTTGGATTTGCTCCGCACTGTACTTACAACGCGTTGAGCGTACTACGCGTTGAACTTACTACGCACTAAATGTACTAGCTGCTAAATTTGCGACGTATCGAATTTACCCCACGTTAAACTTATTTCGCGTTCAAATTCCTACAAATTATATTTGCTACATATTGAGTGCTCTATTCCTTGAGTTTTCTGCACTTTGAATACGCATTGAACTTCCATTTCCACGTTCAGGTATGCAAAACACGAGGATCACACTGCGCATCGCTGCGCGTTGAATCGTAACGCATCACATCGCAGCGCGTCATACTGGAACATACTTAAACTACGCGTTAAATCGCACCGCGTATCACTACAATCGCAACATGAAAAGAAATTTTATCACATCGAACCGTGCACTATGTCACCACTAATACCACATAACTTCCGATTTCATAAAATGAATTATATCATCTTCCCGTCGGTATTTCAAAATGTTTACAAAGGAAGTTTCACGCCCGTCAGAAACGTCATAAAACTGTGATTATTACGAAATTCTCTGATTACTTTTTCCAACCTTTTTTCTCTCCGTTCGACTGGTAGAGGCGCGAAAAATGGGCAGGCTACTTGAACGGTAATTACAGCCGTGTATGCACTTCATTAGCACTTGCCAGCAGTTGCGTAACGAGCGGCGTGTCATTTTAATATGAACACGATCAAAGATTAATGGACGCGTAGCGGCTGTTACAGAGGGTTTCAAGAAAACGCACCAGCCTCTTGTGATCGACCGTGAATAAGAGGATAAGATGTCGAATTAAAAATGATGAGACGTCTATCTGACCATTCGCTTATTCTTCCATCTCCAGTCATCTTCGTCCTTTCTCCTCGGATTGGAAAATACAATCCGCTTATGGTTTGCCTTTTATTCTTCGAAATGCATGTGTACATATTAAGTCCTTTTTAATAAATTTTTGATTGATCTGCGACGAATATTTTTTTGAAAGGAACAGGGGTTTGGAGAATTTCACTTGGGAATTTTTTATAACATTTTGTGATGTGTGTTGTACTGCAAAATTCACGAACTTAGGAGTTGAGTTAATAAAGTTTGTGGTCTACTTAAGTTTGTGACTATACTTAAAATTTGCGTTCAACAAAATTTTACAAAAGGTTCAAACTTTCACTTTAATTTTGTGATATAAATGTGGTACAGTGAAATCACAATTGTTACAAATGACATGACCATTGCAAATAAACAATTAACTCTATCATTACATCATTGCATCTCTATCTTGCAATAACATTATCATCAGAAATTAATGATGAACAGTGTAGAAAATTTAATTAATTTATAACTAATAATTAATACTATAATGTGAACGATTGTATCGAATATAGAATGTAATAACAGTAGCAAACGCTTTCGTTAAAGAAGATGTCAATGTGTAACGTTCATAGCCGCAGTGGTAATTTTTTACCGAATAACACTTATTGCAACCTTGCTCTTACTATTTCTACTTCATAATTACGTATAATAATAGAGCTGCATGTACTTGAAAGCATTAAATAATACCCATCGCAAAATTACTATTTATTAAACTATTATTAGTATACAAAGGAGTAGATAAACATAAAATAAATAGCAATACTGAAAAGTCATAAATAATTTCAGCACGACACTCTATAATTTGAGTAGTAAATTTTTAATGACCTGTCAAAAATAGTAAAAGTGTAATTTATTTAGTTGTAGATACATTAGAGTTGAGTGACATGCAACATTGTTTGAAATATCACATAATGAATTTTTGAAATGCCCACTGTATTATACTTAATAAAATTAATTCTGTTTAATAATAATATTTGTCGAAATCCCCTGTACATAATTTTCATAACATTTAAGGTAACCACTGTTAATAACAAAATTAATAATTCAATTTAATACTATGTCACTTTATTTGAAACATCCTATATTGAATATTCAAAACATCCACCACAGTCATCGTCAATAATAAAATTAATAATTCAGTTTAATAGCATATCACTTTATTTGAATCACTCTATATTAAATTTTCAAAACATTCACCATAGTCATCCTTAATAACAAAATTAATAATTCAGTTTAATGGTGTACCACTTTATTTGAAATACCCTATATAGAATTTTCAAAACATCCACCACAGTCGTCCTTAATAATAAAATTAATAATTTAGTTTAATGGTGTGCCACTTTGTTTGAATCACCCTATATTGAATATTCAAAACGTCCACCTATTATTTGCAGGATGAAGTCATCCTTAATATTAAAATTAATTCTGTTAATATTTGTCGAAATCCTCTATACATAATTTTCGTGACATGCACAGTAACAACCGTTAATAATAAAATTAATAATTCAGTTTCATGGCACACCATTTTATATGAAACACCCTGTATTGAATTTCCAAATATCCACCATAGTCATCCTTAATAAAGCTCAGTGTAACGAAATGAAATTTTATTTGTACCATCCTATAAATTTCTAAAACACCCGCACCCAAAATTCCAAATAAGTATTAACTTGCAATTCGCGAATTTTGAAGTAACCTATACAGGGCTAGTAATATGCAAACGAATAGAACACGTGCATCTGTGAAATAGTTTGATCTTCGGATAACTTTTCTAGCGCACGCTCTATCGGCACAAAGTTGCTGAACAGGTGAAATGAATAATGGTTATTAAATAACTCCTTATCACGTTTAAGATACGAAGCCTGTAATTAAGGTTCTTGCGAGATACCTTGTAAGTACTTGTCATGTAAGATCATGCAAATATCGGAACAACGTGATTTGAGACTCGTGGACAAAAACCGAGTATCAAGATTTCTAATGCACAATAAAATTGAATTCTGTGTTTGTATTACAGTTATTTGTGAAAGAACTGCATTAATGAATCTTATAGGTAGCTTTCTTGAGACTGAGATTAGCTTGAAATAGCGAATATGAAATGGAGCTAATAAAAAGCAGAGCATGTTTCATCTAGATCAGATTACAAGATTTCTAATCTTTTCAATTAGATCTTTGCTAGTAGAATACTAATGACATTTCGCGGTTGTTGCAATTCGTTCCATGCATTTCAGATGAATTTATAATTTCGCATTTCTGTGTTGATGCCAGCATGTCTGATGAATCTTTGGATAACCAACGCTTTCAAATTTTAACTCTTCCAAATTCCAAATCTCCCAAATTCAAAATTTCCCAAATTCCAACTCTCTCAAATACCAACTCTTCCAAATTCCAAATCTCCCAAATTCCAAATCTCCCAAATTCCAACACTCCCAAATTCCAGCTCTCCCAAATCCCCAATCTCCCGAATCCCCACTCTCCTAAATCCCAAATCTCCCAAATCCCCAATCTCCCAAATCCCCACTCTCCCAAATCCCAAATCTCTCAAATTCCAAATCTCCCAAATCCCCACTCTCCCAAATCCCCACTCTCCCGAATCCCCACTTTCCCAAATCCCAACACTCCCAAATCCCAACTCTCCCAAATCCCCATTCTCCCAAATCCCCACTCTCCCGAATCTCCACTCTCCCAAATCCCAACTCTCTCAAATCCCAACTCTCCCAAATTCTCACTCTCTCAAATCCCAAATCTCTCAAATTCCAAATCTCCCAAATCCCAACTCTCCCAAATCCCCATTCTCCCAAATCCCCACTCTCCCGAATCTCCACTCTCCCAAATCCCAACTCTCTCAAATCCCAACTCTCCCAAATTCTGTTGGGATCGATATATTGGCAGGGGTTGTAATTGGAATTTTGAAATTTATAAATTCTCAAACTTATAAATTCCCAAATTTCCAAATTTCCAAATTTCCAAATTTCCAATTTCCCAAATTTCCTATTACCAACTCTCCCAAATCCCAACTCTCTCAAATCCCAACTCTCCCAAATTCCAACTCTCCCAAATCCCAACTCTCCCAAATTCCACTAATTTAACTTTGTCATAACGATTAGCAATAGATCGCGAGTTTGCACGCTGTTTAGAGACCACACCGTAGCTCTGTATGCACCACACAAACCTCTCTAGAACCGAATTTGTCGCCTCTTATCAAACAAATTCGGATCTACAGGGTAGATGTAGAGCATTAACTGGGCCTTCTCCTATCGGCACGTTGATCAACGCAGAACTTTTTCTATAATTTTATCAGATTCTTGTTTACGATTTTGAGTAACATACGTGCCGCATAACCTCTTCGTTGGCCCAGTATCGACAATGTCCTCCATTTTCTTCTTCTTTTCACCACCTAAAAATATTCTTCAATTATTATTTTTATTCTGTTTATTTTTAGTGAAGCCTAGTTTATTTTGAAAGTGAAAACTTATGTTTTATATAGGTTACAAATTATATTGTTTATATAAGTTTGAGAAAGTGAATTATAGTAGCGTCTCTATTTTCTATTTTACGTAAGGCCTTATTCATGTTAGAAAATAGAAGTTGATCATTTTATTATTCTATATATGTAATATTATAATAATGATAAATGATGATGATGAACATAAATCTAATTGATGCTATAATAATTTTATTAACTATAGAACAGTCTCAACTTTAATGAACAAATTTTAATTTAGAGGAGTCTATTCCTATCTCTAGAAGTCTGTTTCTCAAAGGTTCCTACAAACAGTTAAAATTGCCGCTCTCACTAGCCCAGATCGAGAGTGTGACCAAACTGCAGAGTCATTCAAAAATAGAACGATTATGCTTCGTCACTGCTTCGACGAACAGGGTTGCATCTATAATATTTCTGCGAAACTGATCGATCAACCTAACCTATGAATTTGCTTCAAATTTTTAATTGGGAAGGAGGAAAAGATGTCCTTTAATTACTAGATTTCTATTCGTAAATATCCAGAGTGCAATGTCTACAAATCCCTAAATTTCAGATCTCTATACTTCCAAATCCCTAAGTATTCAGATATGTGTATCTCCAAATCTCTAAACCCCCAGATCCCTACATTCTCAAATTTCTATGTCTCCAAATTCTTAAATCTCCAAATCCCTAAATCTCCAAATCCTTAAACCCCCAGATCCCTACATTCTCAAATTTCTATGTCTCCAAATTCTTAAATCTCCAAATCCCTAAACCCCCAGATCCCTACATTCTCAAATTCTATGTCTCCAAATTCTTAAATCTCCAAATCCCCAAATCTCCGAATCCCTAAATCTCCAAATCCCTAAATCTCCGAATCCCTAAATCTCCAAATCTCTAAATTTCCAAATCCCTAAATCCTCAAATATTCTCAAGTTGCCATATCTCTTCATTCTCATATCCCCATATCCCCATATCCTCATGTCCCCATATCCCCATATCCCCATATTCTCATAACCCCATATCCCACATTCCTAAATCTCCACTTCCATATCTCCTAAACAGCCTACCACTCACAACAAATACTTCAACAACAATCCCAAAACAATATCACCAACAATATTATTAAAATAAACATAACAACCCCCAACTAAGTACATGTAAGACATAAAAATTTGTAGTATAAGAATGATACTAAAATACAATGAAGATTTACTCCTTAGACCCGACGGTCTTGATACACTGTTAAAGATAAATCCTGTTATGTCAGTTGGCACACTTCCAGGACGTATATCGTGTCTGGTTATCTTAGCGACAATAATCATATTACACCTGCACTATCGATAGTGATTGATGCTCCTCCCTGGGATCGAAAGCACCTGAGCGTTAACGGCTCACGGATGACACAGCTGAATGTAGCAAGGTCGTGTTCTCCTTCATCCTCTTTCTTCTCTTATTCCGTAGCGGTACAGCTTCTTTTATTCGAGCACGCGTGTCGATGTACCTTGCATTTCCAGGTTACTTGGTCATCAGCGTTCCTTGTTTATCTGAAATCATCCGAGATTGTGGATTGATTCGTTACTTTCTCGTTGAGTGAATGAGTGGAAAGATAATTGCTACTGTCGTTATCTTTGTGGGGATGTTGATGTGGTGTGATGTGGACATTTATGTGAGATTTTTTTAGAAGAATTTGCAGTTATGAAGTTTATAAATTTTCTAATTTGTCAATTTTGTAATTTCCTACGTTTCAATTTTTTCAGTTTCGCAATTTCGTAATTTACTAATTCCCACATTACCCAATTCCCACGCCCCCAAAATTCTACATTCCCCAATTCCCACATACCGCAATTCCCACGCCCCCAAAATTCTACATTCCCCAATTCCCACATACCCCAATTCCCACATTCCCCAATTCCCACATTCCCCAATTCCCACATTCCCCAATTCCCACATTCCCCAATTCCCACATTCCCCAATTCCCACATTCCCCAATTCCCACATACCCCAATTCCCACATTCTCCAATTCTCATGCTCCCAAAATTCTACATTCCACAATTCCCACATTCCCCAATTCCCTCATTCTCCAATTCCCACATTCCCCAATTCCCACATGTCCTAATTCCCACATTCCCCAATTCCCACATTCCCCAATTCCCAAATCTTCAAATTCCCATATCTTCCAAATCCCAAATCCCCCAAATCCCAAATCTTCCAAATCCCAAATCTCCAAATTCCCAAATCTTCCACATATGTTCCAATCCCCAAATCCCCAAAACTAACCTAAAAAAATGTCCATACTTCCAAACCCAATAATTCCCTAACTAAAAACAAACTTATTGTATGTGTGTTCCTTTCCCTCGCTCCGCCATTTTCCTAAGAAAATATCCATAAATGTACCTAAGCAGTAGAATAGATTACAAGCAATAGCTCTAAGGGACAATTTGTCAGATTAAATTTTAGGTCTGAAGAGGAAACAGTGTGAACTGTCAAAATATTTTACCTTGGATTATTTTGTTCTGGGATTGAAACAGATACGACAACGATAGTCTTCCAAAAATCCTAGAGCTTTGCGTTGAGGGTTAATCCTCTTAGTATTATCTCCTTATGTTTGCCAATCGGGGATTAACTCGAATTAAGGCGGGCACTGGTTCCTGCAGTCAAAACATCTTTAGGTTAGTTTCTTATTTAACTTACAATTCGGTTAACACCTTCTGTGTTTAGTGAAATAAGATTCTTAAGACAAGTTTATGGTATTGTTTCAAAAATAATTGTTTTTAGCTGACATTATAGTACTCTACACTTTCACTTGAAAAATATGTAAGTGTAATTACAAAATGCAAAACATATTTTGGGAAGTGTAAATTCATTAAATTCTTACAAAATGAATGTGTGTTCAAATAAGAATGTGTTCATATGTGCATATGTGAATATACATATGTGTATAGCATGTATTGTATTAATTTAATATATTATTAGTTTAATAGTAGTTTAAAATTGTAATTGCTACAAAATATCACACGTCTTCTCCTTATTTCCAAAAATTTTTAATTCTTCAACGACGATAAATCTAGCACAGCAATCGCACAAGAGGTAAATTGTTATAGAATTTATTTATAGGTCCAAACATAAATAACAATTACAACCTTGAAGAAAAAGAATATTTTTACCTACTGCAAAGATTAAATTCCGTTATCCAATAAACCAGTATTAATTCCCGATTGATAAGAAATAAATCCAGTAACTCGAGAAGGAAATTGATCTTTAACAAGCTGTCTAAAATTTGTCGGAAACAGTAATCCTTCGGAACGCGACTTCGACGATGACGTTCGAAACGAATTCTCCCGGGTATATATTTACGACCAGGTAGACGTTGATTTGCGACTTTGAAGAGCTAGTAACTTCCCTCCGGGGAGCAATAAACCGACAGAAATTACCGCTGTGAATTTTAAAACCTTCCCTCAGGTATACAAAGTTGAAGAAGCGATGCTATCTTCGTTTATTAGTTAATTTCAAAATGAAGAGGCATTAATAACAACCAGTACATTCACTAACTTTTTAAATTAAGAAAGAAGATTTTAGATTTTAATTATTTGAAGTTCGACTGCAATTTTGTGTCAGATATATTGTTTTTATTTATGAATGTATTTGCTGTTAGGTTAATTATGAATTTTTTACTAGTTTGACGGTATTTAACAATGTTAATAATATTTAACAGTGAGTGTATCAGTGAAAAAACATAGAGAATTATTATTGAGAATCATGTTATCATTCATGTTAGTGCCGTCTTTATAACCATTAGACATAGTCTTCATGTTCAAAAATAAAATTGTAACGTTTGACCTTGGCCTCCCTATTTTTCATACGTTCTATATAATTTTTAAACAATCTAATATTACATAAATTGAATTTGGAGATCAACCTCTAAATATTAATAGATAAACTCTGAATCCTAACATTATTAAACTACAAATTTATTTTAACTCAATTACATTCATTTCACTATTCATTTCAAAAACAAATGTGTTCAAAATGGAGATATAATTCGATATACTCTATACATTGTTAATATTATTATCAGATGAATTAATCAACAAAAATTATTAATTTTAAGAAAACATTCCTTAGAAAATAATTCACGTACGTTCTCAAGATTGAATAACTCTTAGAAGAAGATTAAATAATTGCCTTCAATCCTAATATTATTATTCCCTTTACAAAATCGAATTTAACTAAAAATTTCACATTCTAAATCTAAAAGAACAAGTCCAAATATAATTATAATAACAAATATTGTGTTTGATCGTGAAATAAAGTTTGTGTTTAAAGAAAAATGTGAGCGAGCGATCTCATAGGTGCAGAGGGCGTCCCTGAACCCTCGGATCCGATAGGTGGAGCAGGATTGCTCGAGTTTCTCTATCGACCCGATTCACCCTCGCCATTACAGCCTTAGCGTCTGCACCCCGACGCTATTATCCTCGTCCCCTTGTTCGCATAATTTTCCGTATTAGAACTGTTGCTCCCAAAACCATCGAAACTTTTCCCGCCCTAAGCAGAACCGAGTTTCGCGACGGAATAATGGAACTTGCACGAACGATGATATACTTGGCAGCGCTAATTCCACGGAAAATGTTGCTTGCTCGACCGAAACGTGGAGCACGATAAGAAAATTCGTTTATTTATGGCGACACATGAAGCTTCTGTTCGCTGATTATTATCGAATTTCGAAAGTTTGCTATTTCGGGTGCTTGCAAACTGTGAGCCTCCTGAACGTTGAATTTGATAGCCGTTCTGGTTAATAAGTAGTTAATAGTGATTTTCATTAGCAATTTCTAATAGTGATTTTCTTTAATAATTACTAATAGTGATTTTCATTAGTAATTTCTAATAGTGATTTTCATTAGGAATTACTAATAGTGGTTTTCATTAATAATTACTAATAGTGATTTTCATTAGTAATTTCTAATAGTGATTTTCATTAGGAATTACTAATACTGATTTTCTTTAATAACTACTAATAGTGATTTTCATTAGTAATTGCTAATAGTGAATTTCATTAGTAATTTCTAATAGTGATTTTCTTTAATAATTACTAATAGTGATTTTCATTAGTAATTTCTAATAGTGATTTTCATTGGGAATTACTAATACTGATTTTCTTTAATAATTACTAATAGTGATTTTCATTAGTAATTGCTAATAGTGAATTTCATTAGTAATTTCTAATAGTGATTTTCAGTAGGAATTACTAATACTGATTTTCTTTAATAATTACTAATAGTGATTTTCATTAGTAATTACTAATAGTGAATTTCATTAGTAGTTTCTAATAGTGATTTTCATTAGTAATTGCTAATAGTGATTTTCATTAGTAATTACTAATAGTGAATTTCATTAGTAGTTTCTAATACTGATTTTCTTTAATAATTACTAATAATGATTTTCATTATTAATTTCTAGTAGTAATTTTATTCTCAACAAGCCTGATCGACTGTTTTGATAATATTAAACTACTTTTTATAGCTATACCTCAAGTGTTTAATAATGTTATTTATCTTTGGATAACTAAAAGTGCTCTCCGTAAAAGGAGTACTTGACTCAAATATAAATTTATGAGTCATATGAGTGACGTGGTTAAATGTGTGAATCGTATATGTATATGAAATTTTCGCTGTTAGCGTGTGTGTATATATACGTGTGTGTTCAAAAATATTCAGTGAAAGATTTCTATTTAATATAACTTCATATATTGCATACCTAAATAGCTTTCCGTACGAATGCAACTGAAAGTGGACCCAAAATGAAATCATAGCCGTAATTGGAGTTTTAACCTGAAACGAAACTGAATTATTATACTTGTAACTACAAAATTCTAATTGAATTATATTTGTAGTACATTAAGTAGTACAATTGAAACATATAATGCATTATACTTGTGGAATATATTGTATTGTATTTAGAACTGTTTTTTTATGAATTACGTACCGATTTTAATTTAAACGATGTAACTTTTCTGTTGTCACCTTGATCACCTGAAAATCAACGTTCCTCTTAAATTGCGAGACAACCGATGGATGTAAGCAAGGAAGTGAGAATTGCCTTCATTTGCAGTGCTATAATCTGTACAAATGAAATATAGAGTACCGTGTAAGTGGCGATAAAGCAGCCGAGTCAGCATCAATCAACCCTTTCGTCGCGACAGTCCCTCTTTGAACAATCGACATCCGTACATTAACCCTGCTGAAAAACAAATCGATCGTCAAATAATCTACTTAATTCAATGTTTCAATGTTTAGTACTCAAGGTTCAATACTTGCTAATCTAAAACATAACGTTATACAGTTTCAACTTCGTTTACAAATTTCTTTCATAGATAAACTAATGAAGAAACTTTATTTCAAATTATACCTTACAAAATTATTGATGTGTGGTTACATTGCATTTTATAAAAATTCTTGAATGGTAGTTGGACTTAAATTCCTCCAATACTAGGATTATGATTGCATTTAAACCCCACAAAAATTCTGCAATTGGGATTACATTTACAAATTTTACAAATTACAAATTCTATAAAAGATTTAGCGTATTATGACTACGTTTAAGTTTCACAATGCATTTTTGAATTGTAGTTACATTTGAATTCCGGGCAGATGCATGAAAACGTATTAAACCAAGCGACGGAAACGGGAAGGATAGTAACATGAGTTTAGTAAATTTATACAGTATCGCTAAAATGAAACAAACTAATTCTTCAAACAACATGATTCTTATATTACCTAAAGCAGAAATTCATAGCGTGAATTTAGCTACTTTAGAAATTCGAAGCTTTAGGTCTGCAGAGCTTTAAGATTCCCATAATTAATTTTATTTAATTTCTTCGAATCTTTCAAACTTTGAACGAGAAATTTTGAAAAATGTACAATTACATTAAAATCGAAGAAATCATAAAAAATTACCGTCTTCAAAAACAAAGCTGCTTCAGTCTCACAGGAGATCCAAAACCAACTCAACAATTTAAAACTTAGAGAAATAGAAAATCGAAATAAAATCCAAGCACTCCTCCAGCATTTCACAGCATCACCAAATGCACCACTTGTAGATTAAACCTCTAAACGGAGTTAAATCACCGGCGAAAGCACACCTCGACATCTCGGACATCACCCCCGTGCATTCCACGCGTGTAAATCACGATCCCCGAAAAAGCTCGAAAAAGAGCAAGTCGTCCACATCGGCGAATTTGGCGTAAATGGTAGCTCGAGGACAGATAAGACCCGGTTGCTAGTCGTTGGTCCGTTTGAACACAAAGAGGAACACACACCGGCTGGTCCGATGGCTGGACGGGACGTCATGGCTGAACCGACGAATAAACCAATAAACGGCGCAACCATCTGCTTGCCAGCCGGCACATCTCTGTCCTCTCCCCGTCTATTCCGTTTCACGGCCTTCTGTCCTCTCCATTCTTCTTCTTCCCTCGTGTTGTTTCTCTCGGTCCCTGTCCCGTTTCCCCTCGGCACCACCATCTTCGCCAACAGCACTAGCGGCACACACCATTTTATGCGATCCTGAAATGAAATCCACGCGAGGGCTCAGCATCCGTGGGGAACTCCCGTTGCTTTTATTCCACGACAATGAGCATCAACCACCCAACGTTCATTGGCTTTCTCGGTTTCTCTCCGCTTTTTCTTGCCCTTTCTTTTTTGCTTTATCTGGATGGAATTTTTACCGATAAGGGTGAAAACCTTTCGGAGAGGGTAGTCAAGGCGAAATCACGAGGGTCCTGTAACGGTTCTCGCGGACGAGTGTTCGACGAAGCAGTTTTGGAGACCCTAGAAAATGGAGGGTCACTTTTTCGAGGCGATCATCGTGTATATGTTACGCAGAATATTCTGTTATTGAACATTGATTTCTGATGATAAGTTTGGGGAGGTTTTGTGTGAGGTTACGTGTGATGTTTGCTTATCACGAGATGAGAGCTCGTGATACTGGAAGAATGCTATTGGTTTAACTAAAGGGAATTTTAACTTCAGACAGATTTTGTACTGGAGTAAATTTATGGTTATACACATCAGTTGATTAGAAAAACAGGCAAAGTTTGACTCTAAATTTTTGGAGTTCTTGTGATGTCACAGTAATTGAGTGTGTCTTGATGTGATGAATCATTATGTGGATTTATGAGGCTATGTTGGCAGTTACACGTGCATACCATTCAAAGAGAAACTATGTTCTTCAAAGTTACATTTCAGATTTGTAACTTTAAGAAATTTGAAATTTGTAGACTTGAATTGATTGCATGAACGCTAGAAATGAAGATGGTGATAAAATACGAAGATTTTCAGATACGAAGAAATGTAAAGAAAAATGAAGAAGGTAAAATTTTGAGAATTTCGAAATGGCCAGTGAATCGAAGGTCAATCGACCGCCATTATTCTTCACCTATTAGTTACAAAGGTCCACGATACCTGCTCCGAAGGACGAGGAAAAAGAATGAACAATAGTATACACCGAGCATCCCTGCTATATTGCCGCAATAAAACTACTCCGGTGTGTCCGTAAAACCGGACGCGCAATTCCGAGAAGATTTTTAGTAGCCCCGTTAACTTTGCATTTCAACGGGAGGATCAACGAGAAGGCTCGTTGTCTGTAACTACCTCTAATCGCAGCTTCTCCACCTTCTTAATCGTTTGCAAGAAACGATAAAACATGGTAGAACATTTTGGTCTCGTGGAACACATCGATCCCAATAATCATCTTTACTGAGAGCAAATTTTCAAGAACGTACGACCAAAATATTTTAGTTCGATAAAGCTAATAGTGATTAGCTAAATCTTGATAAAAAAAAATTACAATTATAATTGGAAAGAGTTAGAAGGACACAGGAAATGTTTTTGGTAATTTTGTTAATTATGGAGTGCACTATTTTTATGATAAAATACTGGAATTTTATAAGAGAATTTCATGTAGCATCTTCATGACATAAAAATAATAAAATAAATTTGTGCAACGAAGTGATAAAAGCAAACTTAAAGATCCTGTACATATTTAGAAATTTTGTTCACTTGAAAAAAATAAAAAATGACTACATTGAAAATTAATAGTTAGCATATAATCTTGTACATATTTAAAAATTTTGTTCGCTTGAAAAAAATAAAAAATTACTACACTGAAAGTTAATATTTAGTACGTAATTTTGTACATACTTAAAAATTTGGTTCACTTGAAAAAAATAAAAAAACTACACTGAAAGTTAATATTTAATATGTAATCTTGCATATATTTAAAAAAATTCTTCGCTTGAAAAAAATGACTACACTGATAGTTAATTTGTTTAACTGAAAGTTAAACGTGTAAAACAGAAATTAATATTTAAAATTGACTAAGCTTGTACGATAATTACTAGATTATTTCTAAATTGCACCAAAGTGTAATTTGTAACAGAAAGTGATAAAATTTCTCTGTTAAGAATGAAGAGACATAATAATAAATGTTTGCAGTACAATTACAGTGTTCATTGGATTAATTCGAAAGGGACAATTAATTTTTTACCGGGTACAGTTAAAAGAGTTCCAACTGTGGTCGAATTACCATGCACTTTATGGCAGTATACTGCATCAGTGGTGGGAATCGACTTGTGCCCATATGGCGAAGTATAAAAGAGCAACGAGACCTCGTTGCGTCTCCCATGGTCGAATTGCGGTGCGTGACGTCACTTCTCGCGGAAACGTGTTAATTTACGAGCGCGACACTTTAATTTCTTGATATCAAGCGCCGTGAAATTGCGTGGAAACAACGGCAATCCACCCGCTGTGAATAGCGTAATAAAATCTATAGTTCAATCGTTCCATTGAAACGAAATTCCCTTTTCGATCGATCGGTTCAATTAAAATTCGCCCGTGTTTTATCGAGTGTTTTAATCGTCGAAAATATTGAATCGATATTGAAATTTTTCAGCGTTTGTTAATGGAGTTATTGAATGGGCAAATATTCAACAAGTAAAGGTGTTGATAGGTTGTGAATGATGCCTTTAATATCTGAAAATCGCGGCTCGTGTATTGTGTGGACAACATCGATCATCGGAAGCTTTGTCGCGTCATGCCGGCTCTTGTTCGTTCAGGTGTCGATTCAACGGACCTGTCGGTGTGTTTTAACTAATAACAAGCTCGAGAGACACTTAACACGCTGTAATATACCAACGTGGAAAGTAAGATGAAAATATTTGCATATGTAACGCGTTTGCATATACTTTCAATTTGCTGCGTGAATAAATATTCAAAACACGAGGGAAATGATAACCATTATATCACTGTTGCTAACTAGTTCCAGTTACGAAATACCAGCTTTCCAATTTGTTCTTATTGCTATTAATAAATCATATTTGCACTGCCGGACAAATCGGAAATATAACACATTTTTACTTAAAATTAATTCAATTTTACACGAATACATTAACGTAATTTTATGCGAGTGAATTAATTTAATTGATACATTAATTTGTCTCACAGAGTTCCAAAGTGAAACTCCGTATTAAATTTCCCATTCGCTAAATTCCGAGTGCTCAAGTTTCCCATTATTCCCAATAAATCAGAATACAAATGGCACGGATCAAATCGATGAATAAGTAACACCGAAGTTTTCCAATAACCCGAGGAATCTCTCCGCAGGGATCTATAACTGAAAATCAAGGATTAATCGAGTTAGATGTTGAACCACCGAGTGGGACGTACCGGCGAGTTTAGGGATCGAAAGACTAGACGTGGAATGTGGGCCGAGTGAGTCCTTGATTGGAGTTATAGCCGGTTTGCCCTCGTGCACACACGTCCACTGAATATTGTCGTCTTCCTGAACGGATTCGAAAGCAACTTGCTAAATGGATCCACGTAGGACGCGAGTCGTAATGGAAGCATGTTTCGAAGAACATAACTTCGAAGAAGAATCGTTCGAGATAAGACTTACAGCACCAATAATCGCCTCTTCAAATCTTTATGACGGTTTCAATCGAACTTATTCGCGATGAATGAAGTCAATGTATCGAGATTCGTTTTTCTTCGAATCAAGGCTAATAACGTATCGTGAATTTGTCTTACAGGTTGATGGAAGTATTAATTAATTTGTACTTGGAAATGTTATGTTAGAGATACTTTGTATGAGCTGTGAGTGCATCAAGTTTCTGGATGAAAGCTAGTTCTTATGAGTAATAATTTTAGAATGGAACATGATTGACCACCATTTTCATAATCAAGTTTCTCAATTTAGTTTAGGGATCTTCAGTCTCCAAAGTCGTAGACATCAAGTCTACATTGCACCTAAGTGTACCAAGGAGATTAAACTGAATTACAAAATCATGGGACAAAGTTTGCGGTTGTCACATGGGTGCCAGAGATTTAATAAAATTTTTAACTTGTCTACGAAATTTGAAACTACAGCAATAACATTATTGTTGCATTAGAATTTGAAGTGTAGCTTGAAATAAAATTTGTTTGTTCAAAATTTTTAAGTCTAACATGAAATAAATTTTATAATCAAGTTGTGTACCTCGACACAATAAAAAATCCTTGTACGAGGATCAAACTATATATTCCTATATTTTTTCAAAAATTTCTTATTTGCTCCAGAAGTATCACAAAACATGACCATCTTCTGCACATATTATTCTTTATAAAAATTTTCTTGTGACAAAACAGAGTCTTGATTAGGGAGGCGGTGAATTTAAGGAACTGAAGCTTGCATCCACATCCAAGAAATGGAGTATTAGTGGAATATTACCGTTTACCTAGAAAAATCACACAGGAAAGGAATGTCGTCGATCTGTACAAGGATTCCCCGTGGTCACCTTTCGTCGTTTGTGAAACGAAGCGAAACCAAAGTGTGTCGACGAGGAGCACCGTGCAAATCGATCGACGTCCCGCCAGATTCCGAGACGTTGGCCGAAACGAACGAAAAATCCGCCACCGTCGGCGCCACTGCGCCGTTTCTTGTGGCCCGCTCCAAAACAGAAACCTAACCATCAACCTGTCCACTAACATCGCGTTGCTTTTGCTTCGATCCACCGTGTTAGGGTTATTCGTCTTTTGCAAGAACATTCCGACCCTAATTTCAGACGAATTTGTTATGGTGGAATCGTCGGCAATTTTGAGGTTGGGAATGCAGCCTCCAAGCGTGAAGCTTGTCAAAGACGGAGGCTTTTTTAGACGAGTGTTTGGTCAAACATTGGTTCTCTGACAAAAATGTGGATCAAATTGCTTTTGTACTTGACAAATTATTACCTTGAGGATGGAAGGAGGAAAAGTTTAAATTTTTTAGTTTAAGCGGCTGCTAAGGTTGCTAGGTATAAATGTTAACTCTTAAAAATTTGTTAGGTGAAACTCTTTTTAGACTCTAGAGTGTAAGTCTAGATAAGAGTAGACTCTTTAGTCTGAGTTCTTCATGAGCTAGACAGAGTGTAATTGAGTAGGATTTAGATCTGGTAACTTTATTAGAAATTATTGAAATAAGTACAGATAAGAAAAATAGTATACAGAAAGAATAGTAAGGCATACAAATGTCTGAAGCTTGAACATAAAAATTTGTATTTGAGAGGTTACATTCGAAACACACACTGAATTAAAAATGCACCCTTTCAGAGTAGAACTGAAATTAATTCTACAAATTATGAAACAGATAATTCTACGCCGAATACTCACTGTATGAAAAGACATCGTTCGCAAATATTTTGAGGTGCTTCCAAAGAACGTAGCTAGAGACCCCACCACCCCCGGATGGTAGTAATGGATTCCGGACGAGCCTGCGCCCCGAGGGATGAAAACGCATGCATCGAACTTTTCTACGATTCCGTGACAATCACAATCTTCCTTACGGACCGTGTAATAACACAATTGGATCTGAAAGTGTCGACAAACATGTCACTGAAAAAATCTGAAGCCGATCTTAAATCGGTTCAAAATGTCACTTTGCACTCGAAACAGTTTGTAACATCGTTCGAATTAACACAGAGTATGCGACAGCACTCGTTAAATCACGCGGTTCATGTCGCGATAACTTGCGAGTAATTGCAAGAAGGATATTTTGAGGAGAAAATCGAGCACGGTGTTTTCGGAGGATGCAACGAGCCACGCACAAGCGCCATGGAGCGATGGATGTTCGAGTCTGCGTGGTGGAAGATGGAAACACGGCGGATCGACGCTGGGCGTCGCCATCGAGGGGTTGAAACGAGGGTGGTTGGAGAGGGGTAGAACTACTACGCGAATAGAGGAGCGGACAGTGGCGTGTCCGATCGGCTCCACGGAGACGTGCAGACTGTTCCATGGTCCGGCCTCGTCCCTCCTCGGGCCAAGAACAGTCATTAACATAAATTGTCTTCGGTGACAGTTATTTCCACCACTCTCCGCTCGAGTCTACCGAAATAATATTACGCTGCTGCGAAACTTCTGTCCGCTGGGGTAGAAACTTCGGGAAGTGCCTTTTAATTGCTATTAACGTGTACAAATTTCGCTTGAATTATCTTTGATAGTTGGGGGGAGCTTCACTCGTATTTTAGGCAGTTTAAGGACGCACCGATGACTTTTATGACCTTGACATATCATGTCAAGGACATTCTGAATCATTTTTCTATAGTAGTCTCTTAAATATAATTTTGGGGATGTTTGCAAAAATATTTGTAGCGTAATTATTTAGAAAAGAGTACAAGTTTCATCGATTTTCAAATTTAATTTTATTTGAAAACAAAAGTCAATATGAAGAAATGTTATTCTTTCGTTTCTCCTTATTTTTAAATGTAGAATTTGACTCTCTGTACCACGGATTTTAGAGCAGCTTGTATAATAAAAGAGCATGCAAAATGTAAATTTCCTGCGAATATCTTTGAAACTAAGATAGCGATGTATTTCAACATACACCACTGCTGATCAACTACGTTAATTATGCCGATCTAACAAAAGAGAAATCTTATTCCTCGTTCTTTCTATTAATTATGCATTTGACTTCAATTAGCGTCCGAGATTTGAGATCAAATAGAATCATTTGTGTTGAGCAACGGAATGTTCACACATTCGTACTGCTATTTTCCCAGTGCATTTTGCTGTTCCACTTCAACTAAAGATGTTCAAATATCGCGCGTTTCCCTTTTTCTTTTAAATGATAGACGCTAACGAGGATGTTTTCAGTGGTCTCCTTTGTACAGTACTTGGCAGACGTGTTAAGAATTTCTCGAAAGTTACAAGGTTCTAAGCGGACAAAATTTCTACAGCAATCTAACGCAACGATCGATCGCGTGAGACCAGAGTGACCGGTCTTGATCGAGAATTTTTCTTATCGATGATGCCTCGAAAGCCTATTGCCTTATGCAATTGCATGCAATCTTCTGTTAAAACCACTTTCTAAACGACGACGCTCTTCAAATTATTTATGTACAGAAGAATTCTTTTATACCCACAAACATTTTTCATGATATCTATATTAGGTACTAATACTTATCACTTCTGAAAGTAAAATAATTTACAAAATTACACACAGTGTTTCACAAAATTTTAATAAAAATGAACAACGGTGAAATAAAAGCGAATATTTGAATTCCAATAAAAAACTTAATAATTTTGCAGCGTTCAGAGTTTATAGCCGCAAAGAGTGCACCGTTGAGATAATTGAAATGCAGATAAAGGCGCTATAATGAATTAAATTTGAATTGTTTGTCGGTGGAATACGGAATTTATTTCAATAGCATCTACATATTTAGCGATCAATTGCAGCACACAGATTGCGACATCACTAGTACCATTTATATTCCGCATTCCATGCAGCAAGTTGTTCGCGATATTGACCATGACCTTGAGCCTGTCGACGTATTCGGATAGACAGCCTTTGGAGATTGCATAGTCACGAATAGTATTCCAGTCATTGATCATGGACGCCAGATATTCCGTCATGATAACCGATATGACTGTGGTTTCTCGAACACGCAGACATCGAACATAATAATCGTGGTTTTTTATTTTTATTGTCATTGATATAAAACTTTTGACTTGTTTACTACCAACTTTATAATTGAAATTTGTATGCACTTTTTTTTGATATTTAAATTGAAGTTAGTGATGAACGTAGATTTATGGGTTTACATATTGTAACGTGACTGAGTCAAATAAATCAAAAGTTCCTAGTGGAGGGGAAAATGTGTAATTAGGATTGATGTTAATTTAATTAGGATTAATTAACTTCGTGTGGAATATCCATATGTTACGCTTTTTATCTACTCTGATGAATATGTGAGCTGAAGTAGGTGTTAAAGACAGATTTATTGTTTTAACGAGATTTAATAGTTGTGTCAATTTTACACCCTGTGAGAGTTATAATGTACGTGAGATTTATTTTGCTTTAAATTTGTGGATCGATAATGAAATTTATTTTTGGGGTATATGTTTCAATGAACTTCCAGAGTCAAGACGTAATATTATCTAATGCTTTCAGTTCGAGGTTCATTATTACTAATCCACTTATAGTAAACTTTATGTAATTTAAAGTGTTTTTTTATTCAGAAATTTACATCTGTCAGACAAAGTTAAACAGAATAGAGTTGCAAAAGAACTTGATTGATTAGTTGATTTTAAGAATAGACGTCATTTATGATTATGAGAATAACTACTATTTTGACTGTCGATCATCACTTCATCGATCAAAGATAATGTAGTTCCTGCTCAACGAACATTTTTCATATTAATTTCTGCAACTAGGCACAATATGACATTGATGAATCTCTATTTCATCATAGTTATATTCAGATGTATTTATGTATACTTATGTTTAGATAAAATTTCTATCTCTGTTTCACTAGTTTGAATATATCTTGAAAGATGGCGGTAACAAGTTGTTCTGAGGCGGTCTTTTCAAAAGATCCTCCACTTTATTTCATCTTGAAATCTGATAGTGGACTTGTTACTATCTCAACAAATTCCTCAAACATAATTATAATTTATTAATATTACGTTACAGTGACTCTGACTTCTTTGGCTAAAAATTAATATTATATCTACAGAAATATTTTTCTGTAACTTTCACTGATTGCTACGTTGATAACTTTTTAAGTTATTACACATTCTGTTGAATACTGTAATATTTATTTGCATGATTTATATAGAGGAGTTGAACCTCTTTTTCATTATTTCAAATAATAAATATATTCCAGTATTTTTAATTTACTTTCAATCGCTAAAGTCGTGATATAAAACCTAATCTCAATCAACATAGTAGAATGTGACTTGAAAATGGTAACTATCTCTAGAGCCCTATAAAACACATGACCATATATTGCACAACTCATAAGTGATCTATACTACGCATCCTCTATGATTATATTATGTACCATCAGAAGATACATTCTAAAGAACCATTCGCAGACTGCATTATCGACGTTTGTATCGCTAAAAAGTTTCCACAGATCAAACTAGATGGCCAATCCAAAAAATTATATATCACAAGCAAGTCTACAACTCCTTTCTTTATAAAGCACATCAAGGCTTAACAATTTCAAAATAAAAACTAATTTATTTACTAATAATTTCCAGCATATTTAGAAATTTCTTTAAACTGAACCTTAAAGTTATAGTCGTGCCTTAATGAACCTTAAAGCTATACCCTTATCTATGCAACATGATTCACTCATAGGTCCTAGCAAAAATTAAAGTACAATTCGACAAAAATTATTATTGCACCCTAATTATAATTATGAATGTATTGTTCTATGTGTGTGATTGTGGTATACGAGTGATCATTTGTGAAATATTTCTACGCCAATGTGGTTCGTCCAGGTGGTCGTAGGTCACCCGTAGCCGACTCCACCCTTCGAGTGGTAGGCTTAACCAGAAAGACCCACCTCTCTTCAGCATCAACCCCCACTTCCTCTTGACATAATTTGATTCATGATGGCTGTACAACGATCACGACGCCATCTTATAGCGTACTCTAGAAATCCTTGGTATCTTCTACCGCTTGATACTGTAGGTTGTAGACCTCGGAGGAACTTGAATCTACTATCGGCACAATGTACCTGTCAAACTGAGTGTCATTGTTCTGTCGTAGATGGCAGAATTTTTCATTCTTTCAAAACTAGGTATAAGAATTAACAAGCCATAATCTTCTGTTTAATATTAATAATTCAAACTTTCAAGATGACTGCATTCAAATTTTTTGCTATTTATTTTTTATTAGAAATAGTTCTTTTTTAACTTCAGACGCTATAAATTCTGAGAAATCATTGCTATCAAGATTAGTGGTATGTTAATTATAATTTCAGGAGTTCCAGTGAAGTTTCAACATTTCAGTATTTAATTTTTAATGGTAAATACAAAATGGCGGTGTAGGTGCATATTTTATGCAGAGTTTTATTACATGTAAATCGTTCAAAACATCACATAAATCATTCATTCATTGCAAGACTTTTTTCTGAACTGAAATGATCCACCCCTCTGCACTAAATTTCTACCTTCACAACAAACCAAATTCCTAAATTCATAAATCTGACGATTACAATGATCAACCCTATCCTATTCCTCCAGAAATACAAACAGATCCCTAAAAATAAAAGTTACCTTCTACAAATGCATTTTATTGCATACAAAGAGCAAATCTTTTCGGCTCCCAATTCTACTTTCAACTTCAGGTTCATCAAAACCCAAATGATCTGATATTTCCTTAGCCCAGAATTTGAATATAGCACCATTTTGACAGTTACGTTTTTAACATTCATATGTGGGGTGTCTCATGTCGCAAGTCGAAACGTTACGCAATCTTATAACAAGGCTCGTCGACCTAAACGCGCGCGCACGTGTCACATCACGTTTTCAGTTTTCCTGACACCCACGGCTTTTGCCAGTTGAAGTCTTACCTCTGGGCTCCCATGGGGCCAGTATTCTCGTAGAACATGTAACTGACACTGGTCAGAGGAGAAGCACGCTTTCTTCCTCATTGAAGCTGACGCTGACTGAATCCGTAAGACACGCGAAACGTTCCTCGGGTTCCCCTTTCAATTCCATCGGGGTAAATTTAGAATCGGTAGTATTGCAAAGGTGTCGTTTAATAACGTATCAAAATCTACCTATGTAGCAGATTGTAATTTGCACCCCTAGAATATTGATACAACATTTACGACCAAGTGAAGAGACAGAGTGGAGAGACTTAGGTCTGAACTTAAAGAAACTTAAATTTAGTTAAATACAGGTTTAAAGAATTCCGTATATTTTCTAAAATCAACAAAGAAATAACACTTTATCAAATGACAGGTAAAC